CAAAAATAGCTTCCTTAACTCCTCTCTCAAACCAGCGATGTTCTCTGGAGAGGATCTGGACTTCACTGTCCTCAAAAGAATGTCCTTTGTCCTTCAGGTGGAGGTGGACTGCTGACTCTGGTCCACTGGAGTTGGCCCTCCTGTGTTGGGCCATGTGTTTGTGAAGCAGCTGCTTAGTTTCACCAATGTACAAGTCGTTACACTCCTGACTACACTTAATTGCATACACCACATCACTCTGTTTATGTCTGGGTGTTTTGTCCTTCAGGTGGACCAGTCTCTGCCGCAGGGTGTAGTCAGGCCAATTCATTGGTTGACCAAAAATAAGAAGGTGCTTCTGTCTGAGCCACTGCTCCCAAAATGGCTAAATATTCAGAAAAATCTGCCTCCGTTATCGCTGTGACTACAGTCATGTTTTGTTACAGTGCACATCTTGAGAGACAGAGCAATAATAATAATAATAATCTTTATTTGTACCGCATTTTCCAGCTCAGGAGCACAAAGTGCTACAACAATAGAAACATAGCAATACAATATCAGTTAAAATCACTCATAGACAGACAAGAAGCCAAATAGATATCCAAAGACTGATATAGGCCAGCTACTACCCGGCCGGCTCTCTCACCGGGGGCTCACCCATGGTTGTCCAGCGGACCAATACAGCGAAAAACAGTGAACACGCTAAACATTAAAAGCTTGTTTAAAAAGATGCGTTTTTAACGCTGACTTAAACGCTGCCGGCTCAGTTATCGAGCGTATATCTAAAGGCAGGGAGTTCCACAGCCTAGGGCCGTGCACGGCAAAGGCGCAACCTCCCCATTTTTTGTAGTGTGCAGGGGGAACGACAAGAGCAAGATGACCCGATGATTGTAGGGTTCTGTGAGGGACGTATCTAGCCAAGAGGTCGGACAGGTACTGAGGAGCAAGGCCGTGCATGGCTTTAAAAACATAAAGCAAAACCTTAAAATATACTCTCCATTTAACGGGCAGCCAGTGAAGGGACAGCAGAACTGGGGTGATATGGGCATGCTGACGTGCGTTTG